TGATTCTGTAGCTATTCTTTCCATCTTTCTCTACTCTGTTCTCCAACCTGAAAAACTTATCAGGCAGGCCATCTCCCTTCATGGGTGTCCTTACTTCCTGGCTGCCTTTATCCAATGGAGAGCCCCAGCAGGAGATGGGAGCAGGAGAGATGAATGAGGTCAGTGAGGTCAAGGGCATTGTAATGTTTTATTTCCCAGTTCTCTCCCAGGAGGTCACCTGGGCCTAACTGTGTCAAGAGACATGTCTCAGAACAGCCTTCTCCACAGGATTTTCCCCACCCTGGGTTCCTAAAAGCTCTCTGCCCTCAACTCTGTCATGAATGGTGGTGGTGATCTTTCACTATGAAACGTTTACTCACTATTATCAGATTTCCCTTCTCACAGTCTGCCAGTTTGAGTGTGTCACTTGCTTTCTCTGGGGTTATGAATGATGACAGTGATAATGAAATTTATAGGGAGAGGGAGAAATTCATTTAATATAGCAGGTGTTTTATGCATTAAGGTTAAAACAAAGACAAATACAAAGTAGAGTTAAAGACGTTTTCATACACCAAACTTCTATGATCCCCAGAAAGAACAACTGTAGTTTCCCTATGTATGCAACCAGATCTATTTCTATCCACTTGCATACACATACTGGCAGATAATTTGTTTTCTTTGCTGAGCTTAGATCATATGATGCATATTCTTCTGTGACTTGTCTTTAAATATTTCCCTAATGATAGACATTTAGATTTATTAAATTTTCATATTGTTACCCATAATGATGCGATGGACATCCATATATATGATTAGTAAGTTACTTTCTCAAAAAATTCTTATTCAACAGCATGCTTTTCTTCATTAAACAATTTCAAGTCATGATTATATATATGTATATATATATGAAATCTGAACTATTACTAGAGAAATTTCTTTGAATATTAGCAACTATGACACACCTTCTTTAATGAGTGAATGTTAGATTTTATTCTTTATATATATAGATATATATATATATCTATATATATATCTTTTTCCCCTATTCCTCACAACCACCATGGAATACAGCTATCATTGTGTGATCTAATGTTGAAATTACAGAGGCTAAGAAATTTAAAAAGTCCAAACCTTCAGAGCTTGCAAACAGAACTTTATTTGAATACAAGGCCCCTTGTCTTTGAACCCCTGCTCTTTGAACTACACCATGCTCCCTCTCCTTACTAGACAAGATTCTTCACTTATGAAGGGAACTCAATGTCTAGTAGGGAAGTTGGTCAGGCAAAATACTTTTTCTGAAATATAATTTTAGGCTTCTTTTCTGGCTATGTCCTCTTACTCTATGTAGCATCCCCAGATTTATGTTTAAAGCAAGGGATAGGACACAAAGAACAAATAAATGCAATTTATGGGTTTTGAGTTTCAAAAACTATCCTTGATCACGTGGGGATAAGGGGTCAGAAGAGAAAAATTCAGACATAAAGAACATATTTATAAGAATAAAGATTCAGTCACTCTGCATTTAGACCAGGTACTAATAATGATCCAGAGTGTTAGAGAGCCTAAAAGTGCGGTTTACAGGCTAATGTTTCCCCAACAAGGAGTACTGTGTGTTAGTTCACTGACCATACTGGCCTCTAGGTCCAAGTCAATAGGAAAGCTGGAGGGAGATAAACCTCCAGGTAGTTGGAGATGAGAGAGAAGAGAACATTTTTTCCCCAATAAAGCAGTAAAATCATCCCAGCTGGGGTAAACCATAGATAGACTTGCTATAGATGTTAGAGCAAAAGAAATCCAGTGCTAGAAACATGTGCCTGAAGAGTCCGGCTATTCAGTGAAGGGAGAATGGAGCAGTGAATTGCAAGACAGATGACCAGGACACGCACACATGACTGAAACAAAGCAAACTGTGGACTACAATGAGCACAGTGAAAAAAGGTGCTTATGGACCCCCGTGAGCATTCAAGGAAAGCATTAATTAGCCTGAGGGAGGATCATCTGGTTTACTAAAAAAGGAGGAAGGATTCAATTTTATTTTTAGGATTTGATCTAACATTTCTAAAATGTTTCATCTAAATAGAATAAACAGTAATATTTGAGAAATAGCTCCAGTTAGAATTATTTTATTTACTTAAGCATGCTAAAAGTACAAGCAGTCCACAGGAGTTCTCCATTAATATGATTAACTGTTACAAACCAAAAGGCTGTAACAATGGGTTAGACAAAATAATTTTTTTTCTATGTCTTTCCCTGCTGTCTTAAAGCTTGAGACTGAAATAAATCACACTGAGTACCTAAAATAAAATCTACATTGTCCCCATACTACACTATACTATACTGACACTATAATATAATTTGCTTTTTTATGATATAGACTTTTATTGTCTCTCTCTACTTACCAAATTATAAACTCCATGACGGCAAAGATCTTTGCCTGGCAAACAAGAGGTTCTCTATAATATTTGTTAAATGAATGAATAAGCAGATGACAAAATATTTTATGATTACATTTAGATCATGTTGATTCTGACATTCTGGTTTTCCTGACACTTTAAACCTAAAAATTTTTTTTTCATAATGTTTTTTTTAAAGATTTTATTTATTTATTTGAGACAGAGAGAATGAGATACAGAGAGCATGAGAGGGAGGAGGGTCAGAGGGAGAAGCAGACTCCCTGCCGAGCAGGGAGCCTGATGCGGGACTCAATCCCGGGACTCCAGGATCGTGACCTGAGCCGAAGGCAGTCGCTTAACCAACTGAGCCACCCAGGCGCCCCTAAACCTAAAAATTTGTGCAACATTGAAAAAAGTCTTCATAGAATAATTTAGATGAATAAAACACTAGGCTGCAAAGTAGACCAAAATAATGTATCTTAATGATAATGTGATAAAATAAAGGAAGAGGACCCATAAGCCAGTATCTAGAATTTCTTATAAATTGTGAAGCAAGCACATTATGTGAAGATTTTTACTTTTCTGGGTTTTTCTGTCTATTTTTGGGAGACTATTTTGTTTTTCACTATTAAAAGGAGATAAAATAGAAAAACAATAGAGAGTGCTTTTCAAACAAAACATTTTTGGTAACGAAAAGCTACATCCTAGCTGTTAGTGAATCTGTATTTCATTTATAGTTAGTGAATTAAAATTATGGTAGTCAATTTTCCTATTGCTATTTTGTAAGTGCTTGTGATTAGAAAGTGACCAAACAACTTGGAACAAATATAACAATACAGCCAAAGTGTTAGAATCAAAGTTCAAAGAACTTTAAAAATAAACAGTTGTTATTCTTGCTTACCCAAATCTACTTCCTTCCCTTCTGGTAAGAGAACCTCAATTTTCCTTGCAAAGCCACCAGCCCCTTCTCCATCACTGTGCTGGATTGAATCCAGTTCCAAGAGTGGCATGTGTCCCACAGCTGGCTTATCAGAGCAGGACATATGCTTTCTGGCCAAGGGGACTGAACATAACCCAATCAGTTTAGTGAATGTTACCCTGAGGATTTTACTGTCATAACTAGGAAAGGGATATTTTCTTTTGCTGAACTTAGTGTTGGGAAAATGGAAGCCCTGAGTTGCTGGTAAGGATGGTGTTATCAATAGAGAGGAAAACTCACCCTAAGAAACGGAGACTGGTAAATGGACTGTTTATGGTGATACTGCATGCTTTCTATCTGTCAGGTCTCTTTCTAAGAACCTCATGCCTTTAATACAACACTCAAAACAAGATGACATTATTATACACATTACACAGCCAAGAAAATTGGAGTTGAAAGACCTTAAGTAAAGTGTGCAGTATCATAGCTAGTAAATAGCGGAAAGAGGACATACTGTCAACAGAGGCTGTGCCCTTAAGTACTGCTGTGCATAAAGCCACACACACCCCATTCTTTCCACCTTCAACTTTTCATTAAATGAGTTAATATACTCCCCTTTTAAGTCAGTTTTTCTGATATTTGCAATTAAAAGTTCTGAATAATAACAGCACTGTAATTAATGAGAACAGTAACAAGTATGCTGAAATAACATAAAGGTCTACTATATAATTTGGCCCACCAAACAAAAAATTAACATAGAATAGACTATGTGTGTGTAGTATTAGGAAACTAATATTTACACTATAGCAAACAAACTAGTTAGTCAAGTACTATTTTTAAGATTTTATTTATTTATTTATTTAGAGAGAGAGAGTATGAGCAGGGGGAGGGGCAGAGGTAGAGGGAGAGAGAGAATCTCAAGCAGACTCTGTGCCAAACATGGAGCCCAATGCAGGGCTCCATCTCACAACGCTGAAGTCATGACCAGAGCCAAAAGCAAGAGTCAGTTGCTTAAACTGACTGAGTCACCCAGGCACCCCTAATAGTCAAGTACTATTGTTTTTATTATGTTATGTTAATCACTATACATTACATCATTAGTTTTTGATGTAGTGTTCCATGATTCATTGTTTGTGTATAACACCCAGTCAAGTACTATTAATAAGAGTCTTGGATGGAATTTTTGAAGAGGTCAGAATGTGATAGATCCTGATATTCATATTATTCCTTTTGGAGGGAATAATGTGAAATTAAAACTAAGGCTACCTATTAGTAGGGTTCTCCTTTATGATAAAAAAAAGTATTCTCCTAAGTGCTAAATATTAAAATATACACTTATGAAAGGACAGCAAGCAATATAATGTTTCCATGTTCAAAAAATTAATTTTCTGGGGCACCTGGGTGGCTCAGTCAGTTAAGTGTCTGCCTTCAGCTCAGGTCATGATCCCAGGGTCCTGGGATCGAGCCCTACATCAGGCTTCCTGCTCAGCTGAGAGTCTGCTTCTCCCTCTCTCTCTGCCTCTCCCCCTTCTCATGCTTGTTCTCTGTGTCTCTCTGTCAAATAAATAAATTATTAAAAAAAATAATTTTCTTAGCAAAAGTTCAAATTATTTTAAAATCCAAACAATCGGCCAAATCCTGCCTACAAGGTATATAAAACTGAAACTACAACCTGATGGGTATTTTGTTTTTGTTGTTGTTGTTGTTTTTAAAATATGGAACACTTCATGAATTTGAGTGTCACCCTTGTGCAGGGGCCATGCTAATCTCTGTATGGTTCCAATTTTAGTATATGTGCTGCGTGCTACTGAAGTGAGCACTATTATCTGATGTTTTAAGAGACACATTTAAAATCTATTACAGGCCAAGAAGGAAATCTTGCCATTTGCAACAACATAGATAGAGCTAGAAGGTATAACGCTAAGTGAAGTAAGTCAGTCAGAGAAAGACAAATACCATTTGATTTCACTCATATGTGAGATGTAAGAAACAAAACAAACAGAGGAAAAACAGAGAAACAAATAAAAAAAACCAGACTCTTAGCTGCAGAGAACAAATTGATGATTACCAGAGGGGAATTGTGTGGGGCATGGGTGAGAGAGGTGAAGGGGATTAAGAGTACATTTATCAGAAGGGGGAGAGGAACCACGAGAGACTATGGACTCTGAGAAACAAACTGAGGGTTCTGGGGTGGGAGGTGGTTTAGCCAGGTGATGGGTATTAAAGAGGGCACATACTGAATGGAGCACTGGGTGTTATACGCAAACAATGAATCATGAAACACTACATCAAAAACTAATGATGTAAGGTATGGTGATTAACATAACATAATAAAAAAAAAGGAATGATGTAATGTACAGTGATTAAAAAAGAAATAGTTTGACCAGAGAGATGGGGATTGAAAAACAGTGTTTCTGAGACTGACATTGAGTAAATATTGCATTTCTGTGGTAATTGTTTTATGACTGTTTAATATAAAAATGTAGTTTGAATATAGCTTATTCTTATTATTCAATATCACTTTAAGAGTTTCATGAATAGAATTCCAATTGTATAAAATTTGTATAACAACTTTAATATAAAACCAGAGAATTCAAGGAAACTCAACTGAGTTAGAATTTGTGCTTTATAAATTTGTCTTCAGTCATGCATGATGGAGCTATCAAATCCAATTAAGTACAAATTTACCAAACCTAAAACAGCAGAGTCCAGAAACAGTGAAAAGTCTTTCATTTAAGGATTCTACGTAAATAAGAGGTGTTATTTCTGGTCTGTCATACAACCCTTTTAAATAGTTAACTGTTGAGGTTCCTCAAAAAATTAAAAATAGAGCTATCCTATGACCCAGCAATTGTACTCCTGGGTATTTACCCCAAAGACACAGATGTAGTGAAAAGAAGGGCCATATGCACCCCAATGTTCATAGCAAAAATGTCCACAATAGCCAAACTGTGGAAAGAGCCAAGATGCCCTTCAACAGATGAATGGATAAAGAAGATGTGGTCCATATATATGATGGAATATTACTCAGCCATCAGAAAGATGAATACCCAACTTTTACATCAACATGGATGGGATTGGAGGAGATTATGCTAAGTGAAATAAGTCAAGCAGAGAAAGTCAATTATCATATGGTTTCACTTCTTTGTGGAACATAAGGAATAGCATGGAGGACATTAGGAGAAGGAAGGGAAAAATGAAGGGGGGCGGGAATCGGAGGGAGAGATGAACCAGGAGAGACTATGGACTCTGAGAAACAAACAGGGTTTTAGAGGGGAGGAGGGTGGGGGGATCAGTTAGCCTGGTGATGGGTATTAAGGAGGGCACATACTGCATGGAGCACTGGGTGTTATAGGAAAACAATGGATCGTGGATCACCACATCAAAAACTAATGATGTATTTGTATGGTGACTAACATAATAAAATTTAAAAAATTAAAAAAAAAATAAATAGTTAACTGTTTTGGTTAAAGAACAGAAACATTTACTCAATACCACCCAGCTTCCTCTATTAAAGTGTACACCGTATCTTCCATTATTTCTTGGAAAACCCTCAAAACTAAAGAAGGGGCTGACCACAATTAAACATAGTTTTTTAAAAGATTTGATTGATTGATTGATTGATTGATTGATTTATCAGAGAAAGAGAGAGCACAAGCAGGGGGAGTGGCAGGCAGAGGGAGAAGCAGACTTCCCATTGAGCAAGGAGCCTGATGTGGAACTCGATCCCAGTACCCTGGGATCATGACCTGAGCTGAAGGTAGACACTTAACTGACTGAGCCACCCAGGCATTCCTAAATATAACTTTAAAAAAAAAAAATTCCCTTTGGTGTCAGCTATGTGGCTACAAACCAAGAATCTATGTATATGAGTCAACAATTAAAACTAAGTTTAGCATCAGAAAACAAACTCCCCCCAAAAAAGGAGCTGCTTTTGAAAATTACATCTGTAAGGTTTACTAAGCTAAGCTGAAGCATGGACTGTTCCAGACGGTTTTGCAAAGTAAGATCTACATGGTGGTAGTTATACATGGGTTATCTAATGCATCTGTCTGACCCTTATTTAGTCCAGCAATCTGGGATTCCTTTGAAATTATGAAATAAATGGGAAATGATCATAAAACTTGAGGAATTTATGGCTACTTTCCAAACTCTCTTTTCTAAGAACCATTAAATTGCTTCCAAAAGAAAAATAAACAAAAGCTACACTTCAAGAGAGTAGATCACATGAACTCCAGAGAGTTCCAACTTGCTACTCACCTATTCTTTGGCTTTCCTATGAATACACAAACTTCTGCTTCATATTGCTTTGGGGGTTGCAAAGAACTGTGAAGTAGAAGTAAAAGAAGTTACACACCGGATCCTTGCTACTCAAAGTGTGGTCCCAAGACTAGTAGCAATAGCATTACCTGGGAGCTGGTTAGAAAAGTTGAATCTCAGACCCTGCCCCTGACCTGTCTGAATCAGAATCTGCATTTGCAATCCCCAGTTGACTTGTATGCAGGTCACAATATGAGGGGGTCTCTGAACTATTTTTATAAGAACACTGTAAGTTCTAAAACTCTTTGCCTATATACTTTTCCAATCTTTTCTGCCAGCTGATTATAGGTTTCACAAGGACTAATTATAATTATAGCTAACACTTATTTTATTGCATGTGTGCACTGAATATGTAAGTTACTTTATTTTATCCTAAAATTATTGCTTCTGAGATGTATTTATGACATAGGGCAGTGATTCTCATACTTGAGCCTGCATCCAGAAGCACGTGAAGGGCTCTTTAAGACACAGATTGCTCAGCCTACCACCAAGTTTCTGATTCAATAAATTTGGGGTAGGCCACCGAGAACTGGGTGTACCCAAGTACTCAGGTGAGGCTGATTGGGACCACTAATACAGAAGCCCCAAATATAAGTATCTGTCAATTCAACTACCTGGGTCCACAGCTCAGATGCAGACTAATTGTCAAAAAAATTTGTCTAGTCCTAGGAGTTCTTTCTGGGCCTCCCTCCTTCTCACAGTTGCTATGGCTTATTTTGCCTCTTTTCTCAAGCTACCTGCAAAAGACAATGCACTTTCCCCATCTCTCCTTCTCCTGACTGTCCCTAAGTCTGAAATGTTTTGGCTTTGATGTTATCAGTGCTAATTACTACACAGTGATGGGTAATTTTTGTGTGTAAGAAGTATTCCAGAAATTTCACAAACCCTTAGAGTTTATTCCCCTGACTTTTACTTCAGGTTTTAATGGGAATTAAGTTCCTATTAAATTCTTGGAGGCTTTATGTTCAAATAATTCAGAGATACTTCAAAGAAATAACTAATTAAAATTCACATCTTTGTAAGAAAAAGAGATTGTTGAAATACTTCCACCTACATTACTTCATTTGCTTCTGTCAAGAATCTCATTAAATAGGTAAGGTAAATAAAATAATGCCACAAAAAATTAGGAGGAACTGAAAACAAATTAGCAACTGAAAAATAAATCTTAGTTTAGGGAGATCCTCCTTTCATAATAACCATATTTCCATCTTTTTCTACATGTTCAAACAGGGCCCTAGTTTCAAAACTATGCAGTAATTGTTATATGCGTGTATATTATATGCACATTAGTTTTATTGTTTTATTAAAATAAACATTTCTCAGTTGGAAAGTTGTGTTCAGATTAGATTTTACCTAAAGGAATCAAGCGTTAGATACTTGGAATAGCATCCCCAGAAACATAAAAGAAGGAAAAAAGGGTTTTGGGGATTTTTTAAATCAATAATTAGTAGTGAAAGGTGCCTGGGTGGCTGAGATGGTTAAGCATCTGCTTTCAGCTCAGGTCATGATCCCGGGGTCCTGGGATCGAGTCCCGCATCGGGCTCCCTGCTCCTTTGGGAGCCTGCTTCTCCCTCTACCTCTCTCTCTCTCTCTCTGTCTCTCATGAATGAATAAATAAAATCTTTAAAAAAAATAATTAGTAGTGAAAATTCATGCTTACTTTTCTTCTCCCCTGGTTCTGAACAGGAATTTACATAGAAGGCATGCCCTTTGCATTGAGTATTAAGTAGGAGATAAATATTTTTAATTTCTTCCTTCAGGCCACTAACCCAATTAGTCTGCTAACACATTAAACTACAGAAGAATAGAGACAGTGGTTAAAACATGACTTAACAAGCCTGCTGTGAACCTACATATTAGTTTTTAAAATATATTTAACATTCAAAAAGGAGAATCCAGAACAAAATTTAAGTAAATATAACTACTGGAGGTTTTAACTTAATCTGAGCTGTACTCTATGTAAAAATACAGACCTACCCAATCATGTATAAAGCGTGTGTGGGGTGGATCCCTTGGGAGATGATGTGACTGAACATTGAGACTCCTGGGAAGGCTTTTCTCACAGGGGACTAAAAATCAACCATTTGGGGAGCATTGAAGGGAAAGAGTGATTCCCAATTTATATCTATTTAGATATAACTAATATAATTCAGTTATAGTTATTTTTAGCACTTTCGTCTTTTAACTTTTATACTAAATTTAAAAATGATTACTCACCACTGTTACGGTAAGTTATGAAGAGTTCTCTTTAACATTTTTTGTAAGGCAGGTCTAGTGGTGATGAACTCCCTCAGCTTTTATTTGTCTTTATCTTTCCTTCACTTCTGAAGGACAAGTTTGCCACGTATAGCAGCTTGGTTGGCAGGTTTTTTTCTTCTCAGTACTTTGACTATACATACCACTCCCTTCTGGTCTTCAAGGATTCTGCTGAAATATCCACTAATGATCTTATGGGAGCTTCCCTGTATACAAGTGACTTTTCTCTTGCTGCTTTCAAAAT